ATTATTTACATCCATTTTTTTACAAATATATACTTTTTTTACGATAAGAATGTGATGACGTCACACAACGATCAGGTGCATCGTTGCCAAACTATTTTTCCATTTCTTATATTCTTCTTAAACACATCTAACCTAACTTTTCATTTTCTTCTTTTCAAAACAAGTTGATCACTTTTAATGTTTACAAGTTTACACATAACCTAACTTTTCGTTGTTTTCTTTTAACACTTTTGTGTTAAATTGTAAATTTTTAACTATAAATAATTTATACCCATCTTTTATAACTAATGTTTTATATCTTTCTAAAAATGAAGTTTTATCGGGTACAAATTTATGGTTCCAATTATTTTTAAAACAAACATGATTAGGTAATTATCATAAGAAAACAAAGTTTTTTTGGAATTGATAAATAGGCCATCAATAAAAGTATGGATACAAATCGTGGAACTTGCAAGAACATTCAAGCATAGAAACTGATTATTCTTTGTAACTTTTGTTACCATTTCAAATTACAACAAACTAACCATTATGATTATTAAAACAATGATCAGTTATATTTTTCTGCAGTGATTGTGATCTCTTTAAACAAATTCTATTTATAAAGTAGAAAGTGATTTACAGCACCTTAAATGTCAAGAATTTAAACCTAGAAAAAGAACTTAGTTCATTGAGCAAACAATGTGTAACAAGCAGAAGTTTTAAATCAATTGTGTCAAGAATTGTGAATGACAGCGCTACCTAACAGGTTGTTCAGTTTTACATAACATTGTAGTTAATAGAAAGAACATGGAAATACTAGCAAATGAGGGTGCTGTTGATATTTTAGTGTAGTATGTTTGATTAAAAACTTTTCATATATAAATTCAAATCTATATGCCATTAGAATTTTAAAAATTAAACCTTTGTTTTATTGTGTTAACCTGTTTATATTGTTAATCCTTCATGTTGGATATATGTTAAATGGAATAACTAAGTACTCTATTCCACAATATCTTAAGCATATCTGTGCATAAAAATTTATTGAAATTAGATACACCTTATACATCTGTAATGAAAATTTCAAATATATTAAATTTAATAAATGAGTTACAAAGATATTCTATGTCTGATCTGTGATTATTAAACACTTTAAAATATTTAGAAATTACTTATATTTAAATTTATTTTTAACTTTTGTAATTACTCAAGCTTCAATAAAAGTGTTCTTTTTAAAATTGGTTTGGGTCAAAACATTAATAATCTATATCTGAGTATAAACTTTTTTTTTTGATCAATTCAAGTGAGTGGCCCATAAAAAATAATCTAAATAGAGACTGGTTCTATCCTTACAAAACAACAATAGTTTGCTAAACCATGGAAATAAGGACAGATATTGTAAAAACAGATAAAGAAGCAACCATCTGTTTTCCATTTACTTAATAGCTGTGCTAGACTTTGATTGAGAGTTGATCTTTTCAAAAATAAAACCTTTTTGAGAATAAAGGACACAAAGCGATAATATATCAGACAGGTTGAAATGTTTTGGTATGATTAGAAAACTTTAATTGACTTTATTTGTGTTCTGTCTCTTTTTGTTGTATCTTGTATCAAATCGCACTATTGCAGTGAATTGCATTGCTTGGGAACACTCTGGGTGTAAGGACACTTTGATACTTTATTGTCACAGTGTTAATACACATGAAGCACTGCAAAGTATCAGCACAAAAGTGTCATACCACACAGTGTTACACATGACTAGTACTACTGCAGCATACAATAATTAATTGGAAATTATTTGTAGATGAAAAAACATATTATGTTTGGATATTTGAATATCATTGGAAGCTATTCATATTAATTTACTTTCATGGCATGTTTGTGAAATGGATTAAAAACTCTACATCTGGGAGAAATCAGAGTCAAGATAGGTTGTCACTAATTGTGATATTGTATATTGTAATTTAAACTGTTAATGGGGTTATCCCGTGTATTAAACGTATAAAAATAAAAAAAATTAATATAGAAGTTTCATTATTCAAAAATCCTTAACAATATAAGAATTTTGTTAGTTATAGCTGTTCTATACCAGTATAGAAAATTAATTATATTTTCTAACTCACCTGATTATCTGGATCAAATACAAAAATAACTTTTAAATAAATATATATTACAGAAATGTACTTTTATTAGAACACAATTGCAATGCATATATAATTCTTTTTTTAATAAAATTAAAAGACTTCATCACCACTATCAATACAAAAATCGTTGTCATCATCATTATCATCATCTTCTGCTAAATCAATAACTACAGGGCTAATGTCTTCACGATCAAAAACAATTTCTCTATCCCACCAGTGCTGTATCTCAGATTCTGTACTCTTTATTGTTTTTGACCATACTTCTGGTGTTATTTGGGCCAGGGACTCCTTCCACACTGCTAAAGACTTTGCAGTAGAACTGCCATTTGTGCCTACATGATCAGAGTAATACCGTTTACTTATTCCCCATATATGCTCAATTGCATTAAAATTACAATGGTATGGAGGAAGTCGAAGAACTCTGTGTCCATATTGTTCAGCCATTCTATCTACTTCATATATTGGTTCTGGTTTATTCCTATAAGCAATGAAATATTAAAAGCATATCAAATTGTACAAATTTAATTAAAAACATACCTCTGGACCAGTTGAAGCAATTGAGGTTTTAAGATTGTTTGTTCATGTGCAATATTGTTATTTTCCAACCACTCTTTTATTTCAGCTTTTTTTGAAACACATGTCGGAGCTTTACTAATTATTGTGCTATGGTATGGAGCATTATCCATTATAATAATTGATGGTTCCTCTAAATTATTCAACAGCTGATGTTCAAACCATTGCAAAAAGTTATGACGATTCATTTCTCCATGGTAGTCACAGTCCTTTGTTTTGGATGAAAAAACCAATTCAGCTCCCTGAATAAATCCATTACAATTTCCTGCATGGAGAACAATGTATCTAAAAAATAGTTTAAATTACTAAATAAAATATATATCTAAAAAATAATTTAAATTACCAAATATAATATAAATATTATGCAATTAGTTGTCTAGGCTATTATTGAAGGTAATGGTAAAAGCTACAAACAATGTTCTTGTGTAGTGCAGCAGTATAATATTGATGAGTTTGATTTTTTGTATATTCATTATAATTTTAATAATTTAAAAAAAAAATGATAAAACAAAAAATAACTTCCCATAACCATTTCATTTTTATTTTAAAGCATATTGTTAAATGTTTTTATTTCTTTTAAATTTGAACATTGCAACAAAAGATAGTTGAGTTTAAATTCATTTTTTAAACATATATTTAAATTTGTACATGGTCAATTATTTAATAACTACATTAACTCAATTATTATTGTACTTTTTTTAGCTATTAACCGTGGGGGGAATACTGACTGTGTCACTTTCTTAACACTCACATGTTATTGTTTGTTGTTTTGTGTAAAACAGATCACAATAAAATGGATGTTAAACAAAAATATATATATTTACCTTGCACCACCGACTTTAGTTTTCTTAACACTTATGTCACTTGAATCTTGCCAAGAACGACTAATAGTACCATCTTGAAAAATCCATGTCTCGTCCAAGAAAACAAATGTGTATAGACCTTCATTTTTTAGTTTTACATACTGCTGCAGAAACATATGTCTTTTAAAAACAATATTGGATAACTCCATTAAACCACGTCTTGGATCATCTTTTTTATAACGAAAACCAATATTGCGTACAATTTTCCATAAAGAAGTAAGACTACCAGTAAAAATATTCCTTTCTACTAATTTCGCTTGTAGTGTTTGTAATTTAACTTGTTCCTCTAAAATGATTATTTGTTTTAAAGATTATTGACATTATATTTGGTCAAAAACTTACTTTTTTTGTACATGTCATAAATAATATTTCGAATAGTCATTTGATTGAATTCATCTATATCAATAACTGGTTTTGTACGTCGTCTTTTTTGCTTTGGGCTTCTTAATGGTTCACCCCTATTGGCTTTTACTGCAATTTTATTTATAAGGGACAGGCTAATGTTTAACGCCGCTGCTACCCTCTAAAAATAAAAACTTTCATATAACCTCACTTTTTAATCAAAATGAAATAGGATTGTTTAAAAATGTAAAATTAAATATTGCTCACATTTTATATCACTATGTAAAAAGAAATAGAACAAATAATTACTTACATCCCTAACTGCATCAAACGGAAGTAATATAGATTGATGATCACGTTCTGCCTCAAAGTATGAAATTAAAGAAATGACCATTTTCTGGGCACCACTTCCTAAGCTTTAGGCATATTTGAAAATTTATAAAATTTTCAAATTTATAAATATTAGTTCTGAAAAGAACTTTTTTAGTTTAATTTATAGCAAAAATTGAAACGAAAAAAATAAATAACCAACACCACCTAACCACAGAATATTGTTTTCTATTTTGGGTGGGACGGGACCTAACCTCCACTACACTTATGTTCTGTGCCTCCTGTTCACAAATACAATAACAAAAAGCCGTGAGAAATGAACTGGCAATATTGCAATATTTTGCCAACCGATATTTCACTAAAAGTCACTAGATTTATTAGAATCTATAGGGAGAGGGGCATAGGGAGTTTGCTGTATGGTTGGACATTCAAAAGTTACTAGACTGTCACATTTTCATTCTTAACGTAAAAAAACTATAATACAATTTACAAAAATAATTGTTACGTTGTCTCTGTGGGCTTTTAATAAGATTGACGACCAGTTTCTTTTTAATATCTTTTATTAAAGACCAACTAAACTTAATACATGATTATATCTAACGAGCCATCTTCTTCCCCTGTCCGCTGTCAATGTCCTTCACCTGTCGCCCATGTTAAGGTAGGTTTACAAATATTAAGGTAGGTTCACATAACATAACATGCCCCCTTTTTTTTACAAAAAAACTAAACTATCCCAACAACCTAAATCTACCCGCAACACTACACTGCCGCATTACTCTTCTGAAAATGAAAACCTTTTTGGTCTATTTACAATTCGACCACTCCTGGTACAAAATTGATTACTTACATTTAGTCTATGTGACCTATTTAAGTTAACATTTAAATTGTCATAACTTTGATTTGAAATTGATGTATCGTTGTTCATATTTGGAGCCTCATACAAATTGGAACTAGCTGCTGTACTATTTTCATGCTTAACTATCACCTCACTATTTTGTCTACTAATTGTACTGGCAGGCTTTAATATGTGTTGTCTGTTCCTACGATAATGTACACCTTCAGGTGTTCTGACGACATATGATCTTGGAAAAGGACCTATTTCTATCACAGTAGCTGGTAACCACGGTGATGATGGAACCTTTTTATAAAATACATTTTCTCCAACAAACAGATTCGGTAAGTTTCTAGCTGACCTATCATGATATTCTTTTACTTTCCTTTCTTTTTCCTTAACAAATTTGCTATATTCGTTCCTATCAATTGTTTTTGGTATGAGTATTTTTTCACTAACAGGTAATTTCATTCTTAAATTACGTGACATTAATAACTGAGCTGGAGAATAACCACATTCTAACGTTGTATTTCTGTATTGCAACATTCCCTGATATGGATCAGAGCCTGACTGTATACACTTATTAAAAATATTTTTTACAGTTTGAACTGTCCTCTCTACCAAACCATTACTTTTTGGATAATAAGGACTAGAACTTTGATAAGTAATGTCCCAATCTACTAAAAATGACTGAAACTCTTTTGATGAGAATGGGGGACCATTATCAGACATTAAGATCAATGGTATTCCATGTCTCGCAAATATAGACTTCATTGTACTAATTACCTCTTTTGCTGAAGTATTATTTAAAGGCGCTATTTCAAAGTATTTAGAATAATAATCTACTAATAATATATATGTGACTTTACTATAATAAAAAAGATCAACACCAATCTTCTGCCAAGGCAAAGTTGGTATTTCATGTGGTAATAGTTGTTCTGGACTATTTGATCTATGATATTTAAGACATGCTGGACACTGTTCAACTTTATTCTTTATATCTACTGACATGCCTGGCCAAAAAACTACCGTACGTGCTTGTCGAATACATTTTTCATATCCTAAATGACCTTCATGAATTATTTCTAATATAACTTGACGCAATGACTCAGGAATTATTATTTGATTTCCTCTAAAGACTAATCCATCCACAACATGTATTTCATGATTGAAATTGTAATACGGTTTAACCTCCGTTTCCAATTTATTTTTCGAACTTGGCCAACCTTCATTATAATATCTTATTATTGACTGTAAAACTCTATCAGTTTTGGTTGCTGCCTGTATTTCCATTAATTTCTTTGAAGACACAGCTAAATTGTTAACTAATAAACTTCCATGTATACGTAACTCTTCATCTCCACTATCAGTATTATCTGGACCTTCTACTGGTGCCCTACTTAATGTATCTGCGATGAAAAGAAATTTTCCTGGAGTATAGCTAACTTCTAAATCATAAAGCTGTAAGTTTAGCATCATCCTTTGCAAACGTGCTGGAACCTCAGATGATGGTTTTTTAAAAAGACTGACTAATGGTTTATGATCTGTTTCAACTTGAACTTTTCTACCATACCCTTTTTCTTGAACTCTTTTTCTATTTGTGCATAATTTGACTGAGCCTGTGACAAAGATTTAGATGCATATGCTATAGGTTTTTTGTTTTGTAAAATCACTGCACCAACTGCAAATTGTGAACTATCAACTGATAATGTTAAAGGTAAATTGTTATCAAAATATGCTAGTACTGGCGTTTGACTAATCATTTCTTTAAGCGACTCAAATTCTCTTTCATGCTCTTCTGTCCAATGAAAACTAATATTTTTTTTCAATAACAACCTTAAATTTTTTGTACGCTCAGCTAAATTATCTATGTACTCACCTAAATAATTAATCATTCCCAAAAATCTTCTAATATCAGCTCCACTGTTAGGAATAGACATTTGACAAATTGCACTTACTTTACTAGAATCTGGACATATGCCTTCTGCACTAAAAATATGACCCAAATATTTTATATCTGATAATAGAAATTTGCATTTGTCCATATTGAATTTTAAATTGAATTGTTTTGCCCTTTCTAGTACTAGTTCTAGTATTTTATTGTGACCTTCCAAAGTTTCACTATAAATTTAAAATATCATCTATATATAAACAAACTCCTTCTATGTCTCCTACTATTTCATTCATTACTTTATGAAAAATCTCAGGAGCGCAGCTTATACCGTAAGGTAATCTTGTAAATCTAAACCTTCCAAAGGGTGTATTAAATGTGCATAGCTTAGAACTCTCTAAATCTAATGGTATCATCCAAAACCCTGACTGTGCATCTAGTGTTGAAAAATATTTTGCTTTTGCTAATTTTGACCTAATCTCATTAAATGTTGGTATAGGATAATGACATCTTTTAATAGCTTTGTTTAAATTACGGGGATCCAGACAAACTCTCAAACTTTTATTACTTTTTTCGACTAAGACTATTGAATTTATCCATTCACTTGCTTCATTGACTTTTTCTATTATTCCCGTAGACAACATTCTATTGAATTCTTCTTTTAATTTATCATGTAAAGAAAAAGGTATTCTTCTTGGCGGTTCTATTATAGGTTTAATATTTTTATCAATTTCTAAGTGACATACATTAGGTAGACAACCTAGACCAGCAAAAACTTGTTTATTTTTCTCTATTATAGACTCATGACTTACTAGACCAACTCTTTTAATTAATTTTAATTTATGACAAGTATCTAGACCCAAAATTGTTTGACACTCCAAATTCACAATAATGAACTCAATACTTTCTAACCTATTCTCAATTTCACATAACAAATTTACTTTTCCTACTATAGGTATGACATCATTTAAAAAAGACTTTAAATTTATACATGTAGGTACCAGTTCTAATTTTTGTACATTAACCTCATTAAAAATTTTTATTGACATCACATTAGCTTGTGCACCTGTATCTAAATAACATACTACATTTATTTTATTGATTCTGACTACAATTGACCAATTCTGATTAATACTATTCTGACTAATAGTTTTAATAACAAAACATGAATCATTTTCATTATTAGATGATTGTAATGTACTTTCTCTTAAATTTATATTATTTATTCTTTTAGTTTGACAACATTTTGCATAATGACCTTGTTTTTTACAATAATGACAAATAGCTACTAATGCTGGACATTTATTTCTATGATTTTCACCACATCTTTGACAAACTTTTCTTACCACTTGATTATTTTCACTATTCTTACTATGATTTGCATATCCATTATATCTTGATTTAAAATTCTGACTTGTTACCTGACTTTGACTGTTTGTGTTCGTACCATCTATGTTGTACCTTTGACTATCATTTCTCCAACTTGGACCTGGGACTTCATTTCTATACCTTGAATGATTTGAAAAATTCGGACCTGGACCATCTTTATTCTTCTCTACTTTGTATACCACTGCTTCTGAATTTTTATTTAACTGTTGTGCTTGCATTTGAGTTGTAATTATATTTTGAGCAATTTGTAATACCTTTTCTGTCTTCAGATCTACTTCTTGCAATAGTTTTTGCTTAATTGAATGGTATTTAGGATTTAAACCAATAATGAACATGTCACACACCAAACTTTCTTTTAAAATTCCTAATTCACATGTTAAACTCAAATTCTTTAGACTAGTCATGAAATCTTCAATGGTTTCACCATCTTTCTGTACTCTAGTAAGAAAATAATGTTTTTCTACTGTTAAATTTTTCTTCGGGTTACAGTATTTTTCAAATTTCCCTACAACTTCTCGAAATGTTACAGTATCCATGTTAAACTCAAATGACTTGTAAATATTTCTTGCATCTGTACCAATATAGTGCAATAATAAAGCTACTTTTCTCGCATCGTTTTCTTCCTCTAAACCTGTGGCTCTCAAAAATATTTTGAAATTTATGCTCCGTTCTCCCCAGTTATGTGCCAAATTTCCTTGCATTGACAATGGTTGGATTTCATTTCCTATCACGTTACTTTTTATTTTTACAACGACAGGTTGATTCTGCTCTATAGAATCTTGTTCCGACATGGTTGAACTTTACCTTTTGGCCGTTTTTAATTAATTTCTTTTAAAACCAACCAGATCACCACGTGCTGTTAGACCATGTTTCGACTTTTGTATGACTATTATAATACTCGTTACTATAATCTGACCTGAATTTTTACTTCTGACACCATGTTACGTTGTCTCTGTGGGCTTTT